TTGTAGTGAGATGTGTTTTCTGGGGGCAGCATGTGATGGACATGTTTTTTTCTCATTGCCATTCTATGACTTTCCAGTGTGCATTTATTCCATTCATATTCAGGCTGATTATTGAAATGTGAGAATTTATCCCTGTCATGAGGTTTTTATAAGACCATTTTGCTTTCTTTTTTAAATTTTGCATTGATATATGAGTGTGCTTTCAATTTTGTAGGTGCATTGTATGCTCTGTTGGGTCTGTGTTTTCCTGTGTTTTTGTGAAGTACATGGTCTTTCTTTTCTTTTCCCCCGTTAATGGCTTGGCGAGTTTGTCGCCTAGAGGTGAAGTGGACACAGGGCGCTCTCTGGGGGCGGGCAGGTATGCGACCGGGAGGGCGCGCGCCGGGGGCTGGCGGGGGCGCGCTCGGGCGAGCGCTGCAACGTGGAGCCCGAGCGCCGAGCTCCCGGGCTGGAGGCGCGCCGTCCTTGGGGACGTCACAGCGCTGGAATCTGAGGAATGCCGGGCTGCTGGCGCTCTTTCTGCAGGCCCGGGAGAAGTCGCGCACTTTTAATGGGGTGGCTTGGGGAAATGCTTTCAAAGGTGGGGGCTGAGCACGGAGGACGGGATGAAACTCCCCGGAGTAAGAGACGTGGGGGTGAAGGAGGCGACCGCCGCCAGCCCAACCCTGCGCTGCTGCCGCCACCGCGGGGGAGAAAGAGGGGAGGAAAGGAAATTCCCACCTAGATTTCCGAAGACCGCAGGGACGGGACGGCGGCAGGAACTTGCCCCCTGCGACTTAGAGCAGGAACGATCCACTTTATATTGGGGAAACTTCAAGCAGGACGTCCCATGCAGCCACCTCACCCGAGAAGACAGACCAGGGGAAAGTCAGATTGCCTCACCGAGTAGGCGATCTCAGAGATTTCTCTCCTGAACCTCCGGCTACTAGACCCTGTGTCTTAGCACCCCCCACCCCCCACCCCCCCACACACACACCCCGAACGACGAAAAAGCAGACTGTGTGTGCTGAGAGTTGGAATATGTCGTTTTCCCGGTTTGTTCCATGCCACAGAATCGCCCCACCCTGCCTGGGTAGGCACTGGGAGGGAACTTCCTTAGCACTTTCGGAGGTGGAGTTAATGAGCCGCAGCTGGTTCGATGGAAAAAGCTCGGAGCCAGGCGAGAGAACCTGCATTTTAGGCTCTGCCTTCTGGGGACCGATTGGATAGCTGAGGAGTATCCCAGCGCCCGAGAGCCTAGGTTTCTGTAGCTGCAAAATTAAAGGGTTTGCCTACATTTGTGTAGTCCTTTGCCTTGCTACAAACATGTCTTGAGGTCTGTTATCTCACTAGGACTCAAGTCCATTCCTTTCAACCTTTCTTAGGTTGAAAAGGGACCTTGAAGTCGTTGTCACGGAAGGTATTGTCCCAAATTACTTCAACGTCCGACAACTCGTGCAAAAATTCCCGGCCTCTTGGGGAAGGGAACTGGAAACCAAAAAGCAAAGCCTTATTGTACCCACCATGTACAAATCTGTAGTGACTCTGACTTCTTTGAGCATTTGCCAATCTCCAGAACTATAAGGAATTAAAGAAGACATCGAGTGCAGTGCAAAAGGGATGGAAGGAAAAGGCTGAAGGGAAATCGAGTTTCTCAAATTTTCAAGGAAATAGCAGTACAAACTTGCAGGATTTCCAAAGAAAAGTTAGGACACATGAGTATCCTTCTGTGTTCCAGGAAGTGTGAAAAGCACTCTGGAGCTCTTGCATTATTATCCCCATTCCTAGATGAGGCAGGTAAGGCATGAAGAAATTACCTATCTCACCTAGGGTCATACAGCTAGTAAGATATGATAATAGCCCTAGTCTGTCTGCCCCCAAAGTGCATGCTTTTAATCTCTTTGAAATTTGACCAAAACAGGATTAGGACTAAAGATAAGGAAATGCCTTCAGGCTCTCCATGTGAGACTCAGGCTTCTGCTCCTTCCTGGATATGGGAGGCCTCTTGGTATCTTTCCTAGGGAGAGCAAGAGCCAGAAACAAAGAGAGATGCTTTAAAGTCACCATGAGATCAGGCACACCTAGTGGTGCACGCATGTCATCCCAACACATTGGGAGGCGGTGGCAGAGGGATTGCCTGAGCCCGGGCATTCCAGGATGCAGTGAGCTGTGCTAGCACCAGTGCACTCCAGTCTGGGCAACAGAGCAAGGCTCTGTGTCTAAAATAAATACACAAAGAAATACATGAACAAATAAAATAAATAAGTCACCGTGATATCAAACTGAGCACAGCACTATCCAACTGTTGTGGCATAGAAAGAAAGAGCAAAAGACCTTGCATGCAGACAGAAGAGTTTAGTTCTGTCTCTGACCAGACTTGTGACCCTGAACAAGCCACTTCACCTCCAGCCCTGAGTTTATGTTTTTAAGTGGACTGTGACAGAGGACAGAGCTTAATTAGGTTAGTTCATTTCTGAGGTCTTTCCTAGATCTGAACTCCACCAGACAGATGGCACTCCTATAGGAAGTTAAGCGATAAGGCCAATGTCGTGGGGGAGAGGACTGTTTTCACATTGCCTTCAGACCGACAGGAATGTTGAGACTCCAATGAGTGTCTCTGTGTGTTCATCAGTAAGTAAAGCTAAGATTTAGCACTAACCCTGTAGACTCATTTTTAAAATTTAAAACATTTTACTTGGGAAAAAAATGCAATATTTTAGGGTGCATCTGACCAGCCACATTTCTTTTTCTTTAGGACAGATCACAAAAAGGCAATACAAATAAGAATTTTTTTTTAAATAGAAAGTACACCAGGAGGTGAAAATAACTCTGGATAAATATATAAAAGCTAGTCACAAACTTCTTTCAAAAAAGAAAAAAAGCCTGTAATCCTAGCACTTTGGGAGACCAAGGCAGGAGGATTACTTGAGTCCAGGAAGTCAAGATCAGTATGGGCAACATGGCAAGACCTCATTTCTACAAAAAATAAAAAATTTAGAGGGGCATGATGGCATGCGCCTGCAATCCCAGCTACTAAGGGAGCTGAGGTTGGAATATTGCTTGAGCGCAGGAGTCTGAGACAGCAGTGAGCTATGATCACACCACTACACTACAGCTTGAGTGACAGAGTAAGACCTTCTCTCTACAAATTAAAATTAAAAATTTCCCCAAGCAACATTTTGGCTTCTAAGCCTCATCCAAGCTAAATATCAAGCAGACTCTCATGGATTTCCATGATTCCTCCCACCCCCAATATGTTTCTCTCATTAATGTATTAATTTTATACCTTCAGAGATATTAAAATCACTGAGAGCAGAACAAGTTTCCCAATCAAAGCAAACTGGAAAATAAGTAGGCTTTGTTAGAAAACTCTGATGATCTCTAGGGGACTTCTACAAATTTTAAAGTTTTATATATGTGTGTATGTGCATATATATATATAAACTATGTATATGCAAATACATATATTTTATTGCCAGCTTAATTCCAATTCCTAAATGAATAGTAGCTTAGTATAATGGAGGTAAATGGGGAGGGAGCTTTTTCACAATACACATCCTCTTTGAGTCCCCCGATACCATTATCTTATCCTCTGGGTCTAGGTAGAGATGGGTTGGGAGGGGTATGTGCATGTATAATTTTTTTTTTTTTTTTTTT